TTTTTTATTTTTAGATAAATTGGAGAGTGAATTGTGTTTATTGACGTCAATAAACTCAGGCCAACTTAATTTGCAAAGACTATTAAATAGATGAAATACAGGCTTCATTTCGAAGTAAACATATAAGGATTTCTAACAAAAATGCTTGCTGAATTTATGTTATTAAAGTAAAAAATAATTAAAGAATCAAAAACAAAAACCATAGTCTAATCGGTCTGTAATCTTTGGCAGACTCCTGACCGATTTTGCCTACCTTGGGTATAAAGACGACTTTAACCTGCTTCCAAACTAAGTGGTACATAACATAATAGGGAAGATACCGTCTAAACTTGGCAATTTATAAGAAGAGAAACTGTTTATTAAATACCTAATTTTTTCCGCTGTGACTATTGCTTCAGCCACCTGTAATGATGTGCTTGCCAAAGTGATTGAACCATTTTCTCTAGCATCATCATCGTGAGTATCTAATAGTAGTCTTAGTGTCTCAGAAGAAGTTTCAGTCCATGTGCCGTCCTCTTTCTTGAGATAAGAAGGGTTTACACTTTCCCTGGGTAGAATTTTGTTGAACCTAGCAGAGGATGAGGTTGATTTAATTGACTTACAAAATTTCTTCCGGCCATTACTCTGATAGCTCTTCTATAAGTTTTAAGACAATCTTTATATTCTCGCCAACTATTGTCTCAGGTCTATACGTGTAGTACGAATACATTGTGGATTAAGTCAATTAAGCTAAAATTTTAAAATTATGCCACATATTAAATTTTGCTTGCGATACTTCTACGAAACTAAATTGAAACTATTAAGTGCAATTTATGCTCCTTTAGCAAATTATTTTAACCTATTTGTGCTCCTATTTCATCCACAAAATTTTTCATTACATTTTCATTTGCTCGCTTGCAAACCCAACAAATTACCGCACTCGACCTACTATCCATCAAAGGGATTTACAAGTCCTCCTATTACTATGTTTGAATGTTTGAAGCTATGTGGCTTCAAAAGCTTTAAATTAATATTCTTTAAAAACCTTTTTATTTTCGCATTACTCTCGAATTTATGTACTGCAAAATATTTAAACAAAATGTTATTAAAGAATCTTAAAAGAAAGAAATCTACATAATATAAACCGTTTTTCCCCAACGTTCATAGGTTGAAGTTTTTATGTTGATTTATTTTATGAACCATAATTTTTCAACGAAATTTTTTATGATTTTTAGCGTTTGTCCCCGTCGTCGTCCTCGTCCTTTTTATGACAGGAATTTTTTTGTAAACGACGTTGACGACAATTTTCCAGGCAATGCGAAACTTTTTCACGGCACACAATTTGAGAATGAAGGATATGTGCTCGGTGCTATAATTCATTCTATATCCCCTGTTCTTTTTTTAGGGACTACGCCCACCTGCAGTTTGAGTGTTTGCTCAGTGTTAAGCGCTTAAAAAGTCACAATAAAAACTAAATTTTTGATTTATACGGCAAATGAAAAGCATATTAAATCCAGAAAAATTGTATAAATAATGAATGAGCAGGGTAGACGAAATCTAGTAACACCCTCCATACACATTGGGAATAGATACGAATTTCTTTATAGTCGTATATGTCGTATTACACATTTTATGTGTGTAGAAAAATTTATTCAAAAAAATTGGATTTTGGAGTAATTCGTGAAGAAGGAGTTAATAAAATTACAATGAAACTCCTATAGTGTTTCATTTCATTATTCAGAATGAGAATACGCCAACAGCTTAAAAACAAGAAGTTATATTCAAAATCTCTTAATGCCCAATTCTTCAACTCATTCCACAACATCTCCAACATAAAAATTAGACAAATATTTACATTTATCATAGCATATGGCTGGTTATAAGATATTTAAGACCTACTTTCCAAACAAGGAATGCCAAAAGACTTTTTAACTAATTGAATAGGATGCGATCTCTTTCTACCTTCTATTTCACATATCTACCCACGTACGTCACAGAAACTGCAAGATAGGTAGGTAGTTGAATTCAAATGATGGCCCATTGTGGTAGCACAGGATTAGCACTGGTACCTACATAGATTTAAATCAGTATACAGCCAACACCGAAAAAGGTAACGACTCTCATAATAGATGAAGAAAACCCAAACTCACAGTTCTATAAACTTGGCCAGGTCCCTAACAACACAGCATGACAGCTCAGTCAGATCGGTGAGAAAAGGGAATCATAGGACTTTTAATCTTCTTCTAGCTAAAGAAGGACACTGACACAGAAGATGGAGAAACTGCAAACATTGAACAGAAAAAACACTTCTAAGATATATTTATAAATTCAAGAATAAATTTATAAAAATATGTTTGGATTAGACAAACACACTTCGAATTATAGTAGAACATAGTACATGCAATGTCAATTTCCAGAACATTCGATACCAGAAAGATATGTTATACCAGAAAGACATGTTATACCAGAAAGATATTCACAAGACATATTAAAGTCAAGCGAATGATTTCGCTCTGGCAAATGCTATTTAAATTCAAGGAATAGCGTAGATGATTACAACACAATTCAAAAATTGAATCTTTAAAGAAGAGAACAGCCCATTATCAATCATACTAATCAAAATGTGATCCAACATACAACAAACCAAAGTAATGCTAATTGACAATGGTAGTTAGAACAAACATTGTATGAACACCTACTCTTCACATCACCTTTGACGAGCAAAACATCACAATTATGTTAGTGATTACTACTAACTTGGAGAAGTGAGATGAAAGAAGATATCGACAATAGACTGAACAGAGCCAAATTTCTTTTCAATCGTCATATTTCAGTCCTATATCCCAATCTTTCGTCTCATATTTTATAAAATTTTCAACTCTTCTTTGCTTCCATAACAATACATAGTCTTCTACATTTATTATTTTAAATCAAACCCAGACGTTACGGTATTTAAAATATGTCGTAAACTTAAAGTACACTGGAGAGGAGAAGATATAGGTAGCATAATATTTTACTTACTAGAGTAATGCAAGTACAAGTCATACTAGTATCAAAAAAAGAATTTATTTGAAATTTTTCCAACGAACTTAACTAATTTTACTCAATCAATTTAAGTGCTTTCAAGTCGTAAATCGTTTTCACCTGTTATTAAATCTTCAATGAAGTGCAAAGACATTTATTTATATTTTGCGAAAATTTTTAAAATATTTTACAGTGTAGTTATGAGCTATGAAGCAACCATATTAACTCATTTCCTTTGAGTTATCAATCTTGCAAACTCGATGACCCCCTAACAAATTAACTATTGATACTTCACACTTTGAAGCAACAGTAAAAGCGATGAAAAGTTACCTAACGGATTTCATCAATTATTTTTTGGTAAAAATAATTTGTTAAAGACCCTATGACATCAAGGAAAACCTGATGTTTGCTAATTACCCTGCGTCTACACTGATTGCACTTTGGCAACATTTTGGCATATGAAGAAAACAATCAAACATAATAGCCAATGTAGACGCCGATTTAGTGCTTCGATACTCTCAAAGAGTCCGGATATGTATACTCAAATACGAACATTCGGATCAAACACTCGGATCAAACACTTGGCAATCCTCGAGCTTTTTGAATACTGAATGTGCTTCTTATACAAATGCCCCTAACAGCACATAACCCAGCACCACTTGGTCTTCGAACATAAGTATATTTTATAAAAGCGGTGTTTTCAATTCAAATATATATGTAAGTACAAGAAAAGTCGAATATTAAAATGATGGAAACTTCATACAGCTCAAATTAGATATGAGCACTCTGCATCTCTTTTCAATCAATCCGAGTTATATTTTCTGTTATGAAGGAAATTTTATATTTTTGAAAGATATTCAGCAAGGCCTCAAACACTACTATTCGTCAGTTGGAAATTGCACAAAGCTAGATTTTGTGAAGACTTTTCAAGGTGCCACGGTACATTAGGACGATTGACATTCTCAGGAACCTCAAGATTGATCCAATTAAAAAATACATAAAGGATAGAGCCCTGAAACTATTTACGAAAACCGATAGGCTTAGCAACACCGCGTTATCGAATTTTAGAATGGTTACAGGCTCCTCGGGGAGGTACGCAGTTATTGTTTCGTCTGATGAAGTGATAAACAATAATCTAGTTAAGGCGCAGAGAGAGGTTATATAGGAACCTCACAGTTAATAGAGAGTAAAAGTGCTCTAGTGCACTGACTCAACTAGCCCTAACATAATAAACAAGTATAAGACAGACTTCTCTCAATACTGTAGAAACAAAATCAGATCTCGAGTGAGAAATATCAGTAAAAGCTAAAATACATGATGCTTCTGAATTCTCTATATAGCAATGAATGTCAAGAAAACTACATTAACCAAATTTGATTTGACCATACACGCAAACTTTTAATCACTCAAACCATTAAAATCGTCCTTACATTCATCGGGTTTGTTTAAGTAATTCCATCAAATTAATAATAACTCCTTTTTATATCAATTAAGAGAATTATTATGAACAAATTTGTTGTGATATCGAATCAATCAAAACAATAAATAATTACTTCGATTGAATCGAATCGATTCCCGGTACTTGCAGTCTCACGAAAAGAAAAAAATTATTTACGAATAATTAAATACAAAAATTATTTCCAGGACCACTGATGATGGGTATTTGGCAATACTCGAAACAGCTGTATGGTCAGCCAAATATTCAATTAATATAAAATGAAAAAAAACTCTTAATAAATAATAACTAAATCAAAAATCCACTTTCACTAAAATATCGGAAAATATATATTTTGAATTAAAGAAATTCATTTCTGTGGAAACTGAATACATCCAAAATTTATTACAATGTTAGGAACGAATTAAATAAATATGAATAAAAAAAATGTATGTTATTATAAAAACTAATATTTCATTTTATTATATTTCCTATAATATATAAAACATATTCCTTTGATATCGGTATACACATATTTTCGTTAACATAATTTTTTAAAAATTAATTTAGACAACTGCAATTTACATTAAATCTTTATGCTATACTATACTTCAACATTTACTTGCGTTGCTATTTGTCACTAGTGGGCGCTGTACCGTATTTGATGACATCACTTTGACAGTTGTTGTGTTTGTCAGTGCGATTGACACAAAAATTGATTTCATTGCATATTTGCAAAAATTGTATTAAAAAACCAGCGATTTTGCTATTTATAAAATAAACTTTAATATTAAAGATTTTTTAATTATAAACAGCAGCAGTGCCGACCATAATGGCAGATCCCAAATTCGAAAATTTGCCCGGAATTGTAAGTTGCAAAATAAAACAAAGCTACGCCTAAAATTAAAAACTTTTTATCCACTGAGTCACTTATGGCCTTTTTCGTTATTTAAGGCTTACTTTCATTTTTCTTTATTTAATTACCCATAACTCAGGTTAGCAATTTTTATAATTGTCTGTTATTTGTTTATATAAACTATGTATAGGCTTATGACCAACCGGACGTATATGAAACTCCCGACAATCCGGATGCATCTACATCTGACTATTATGAGGAGGAGCCTGAAAACGAGTCAATCGAACGTCTGCATATATCCCCAAGCGATGCCTTTAATCGTTTTCGTGGCGCGGCACTTGAGGGTAGCGTAGACTTTTCCGATCGTATTGGGCGTCGTCAATGCAGGGGTTATGATGCGCGTTCTGGAGAGTTTGAATTAGTTGGTACTGGTGAAAAAGAAACACCAGTACAGAAATGCAGACGATTGCAGTGTGAAATGAATGAATTGATGGATGAAATTGCTGCCTTGCAAGTAGACCGAAAAATAGCTCAGGAGGAAAAAGAATCTTATGATGCAGTAGCCACTATAATATCAACAGCTAAAAGAGTATTGGATTCACTGCGTTTGGAACAAGTATTGGGTAAAGAACAAGTACCGACGGCTGCTGATAAAGAAGTAAAGTCACTCATAGGTATGTATTTATAGTTTTTTTGTTATATTTATATATTTGTATATACTTTTAACTTTGCAGGGCAAGTAGAAGAGTATAAAAAGTCGGGTGTACTTACTGCTATACCACCACCTGGTAGCGACTTGGCAGCTTCAGCTCGCATAGCTAAACTAGAACATCGTTTGCATCAACTGGAGCAGGCGGTTGGTGCACAACCAGAAAAACTAAGTAGACTTTCAACAACAACAAATACCACAAATGTTTTAGAAGCTGTACGTCAGTTGAGCACTAAAGCTGCACTCTTGCAGCCAGCACAACTCGATGCTATTGAAACTCGATTGGGAACCTTAACTAGTAAGATGGATGCCATTGCTGAAAAATCAAGTGGCTCTACAGAAGATGCAAAGCGTGATCAGAAAGTCTGTGAATTGTATGAGATTGCTAAACGCACGGAACCCGTCGCTGAGATACTGCCAGACATAATTGAGCGAATGCAAGCGTTAGAAGCTCTGCACAAATATGGTATTTGTTTTTCAAAAATAAATAAATTAACGACCTAATTAAAGCCTTTTGTTTTTTCAGCAATGAATTTCGCAAAAATTATAGCCGAAATCGAACAAAAGCAGACGAACATCACCACCAGTTTAGTCAACAACAAGGAACTACTACATTCGGTGCAGGAAACGTTTGCGCAAAATCTTGAAACGATTAATAAAGAAGTGGCTAAAGTGGATGAACGTGTTAAGGCAATAGTTAATAAAAAATAATTCTTAGGAAACAATCACTTTTAGTGCATTTGTGTTGGTACTGTGAAAAATACTGAACGTATATTTATTATTTTATTTTATTTTATTTTAGTGCATAATTACTCAACAAACTTGAAGTTTATACTGCAAAAGACATTGAAAAGAAAAAATTACCTTATCGATTGCTTTAAATCAAAATAAAATTATGAATTTTGCTTTTAAAATTTTGTGTGGTTTTAATTATGATAATTTAGAGACCTCAGAAAACAAAGTTTGTGCAATAAGCATCCATGTACAGCATAGGAAAATAGAAACTGCACCTTTATTCGTTGGAGAGACCCAAAGTCTTTCATATCAAAGAAAAATGAAACAGTTTACCTTTAATTATTAACTGTCTAACTAATGGTTCTTATCATGGCAGCCTGTCCAATCATACCAGTTGCAGTGGCCCGACAAACAGAGAGCATATTCCGTCTTGAATATTTCTTTGGTGTGAATGTTAGAGAATGAGCCGGAATGTTGTGTCGAATGGAGACAGGAGATGCTTAGATAAAGTCTAAATCGTATAATAGTATAGAAACCTTGCCACCTCATTGGGCTAGAGCCATGATAGAATTTGTGTGCACAGTTACTTTTATTGCCAATGGTATAATCATGAATACTAGAACGTTAAAAGTTGGTTCTATTTTTTTATTTAAATAAAATAAAATTCAACTGGATAATAAGTATCGAGGGGCTTAAAATGAATATTTATTATAGCTTAAACGACTAAATAACTGCTGTGCTTTTGTCCATTGTTATTATTGAGTCATTTAGCAAAACTTAATAAATGTTATTGTTAACAAAGACATACTTACGTATATGAAGTTTAAATTGAACACCGATTTTGTTAATGTTAAAAAACAATACGAAGAAAAAAATAAAAAAGTCGAACGATGTACAATTTTTATTTAAAGCCTTTTATTTATAATAGTGATACGCCACGTATATATCTTTTGATAATACATTTAGCTTGAATAAAGTTTTATTTTTTATATGTATTTAAATTAAATTAATTTTTAATATACGTTATATAATTTTAATAATTTTTTTTTGTCTTTTGCTGCTGTTCAATAATTTTTTCATTTTTGTAATTCTCAATTACTTTAAATCAACTCTTTTTGCGCTTCAAACATTTCTGACTCATTCTTACTGTATTTTTTTTGTTAGTTTTTTTTTTCAATAATCTTACTAATTTTGTAAGTATTGTTTTTAATTTTATTATAACTGTTTTATGCATTTTGTATAATAAAGACATTTTAAATACATTTTTTTTAATTTACGTAAATTTGAGTTTTAATATATATATATATGTATATATAATTTCGGTTTTCAAAATTGTAATTCAAACTTTTTACGTGTATATATAATTGTGAATAATTTTTTGTATTAATTTTTAAAATTCAAAATATTTATACACTGAAACACTAATTTGAAAGAAAAATATTTTTCATTTAAAAATGATTTTGTTTTGAAGCAAAATATTTATATATAACATACTTTAAAGAAAACTATTATGGATCTTTTTATAGTTTCCTGTTGTTTTAATTTGGGGGAAAAAATGATATACTGAAAATTTTAACTTTTTACAAATAATTAATAATATTCTTTTTACAAATAAACAAGAGCAAACAACAGCTGCTGATGAAGACAAATACATACATAAATATTTATTAAAACTATAATTATAATTTCCTTAACAATTCTTAAGACATATTTCATTTTCCTAATAAGAACTTTAACCAGAATTCTTAACGTGCATTGAACTCAACGTTTCAACGACGAAAAAACTCTCCATTGAACCTTGCCAGATGCGACAAGTTTCTTTAATGCACCTTTGTAGTGATTGCTTATAAGCTCGTACAGTTTGAAAGCTACTGAGATGTTTGAGCTCTTGCTTGAGCCTCAAAGCTTTCAAAAAATTAAAACATCTTCAACATAAATACAATACTAAAAGCCTAAATAGCAAAATAAATTTTATATTTTTATATATTTTTATATATTTATATATATACCATATAATAAAATTTCTATTAAAATTTATTTCTTTACAATTTTATTGCATTGAAAGCGCATTCAAATAAGCTTGTCTTTTAAAATTTTAAAATTACACATTTAAATTTAAACGGTTACAGTTTGAGCAACATAGAAATGGGGGTAAAACAGTGAAGAAGCCGACAAATTAAAAATATTTTTGTAAAAAAAAATTGAAAAGCATGCAATTTTAATTAATTAAATATGATATATGTTTTAATTTAAATACATTAATTAATTGAATAAATATATATGTGAATACATATTTTTTTAATTTAATATTTTTTAATATATTTATTGTGTCTACTTCATCACTTTTTGCTTAGTGGTAAAAAGCCAGCACAAGACTGCTTATACTATTTGCATAATTTGCCCTTTATTTAATATATTTAATAATATATAAGTATATATATTTTATTATCTTTAGTTGACAAAGAGAAAGGGTTCCAAATTATTCACATTTATCTTTAAATATTTTATAATTATCATTTCTTTGGTTACGTTACTTTTGTTAAGTTGTTAAGTCTGCTGTTAATCCTTTCTGCACTGTTATTATATTTTAAGTAATCTATAGTTCGAAGCAGACTTCACTGGTTTCATTGAAATACAAGTTTCATAATTGTTTAGCTTTTGAATTATAAACTATTTTAGTGTAACTTAACTAAAGTCAGTCTTAAATGTAGTTTTAATGTAAATATTTCCCTACTTTACAGCTTAGATTTTCTTTTTTTCGTTTAATGGTACTGCTAATTACAGCAAAAAAAAAATAATAGAGATCAATCTAAATCACGATCACTTCACTTCTATCTTTAAATATTATGCTGTACTTATATACTTCACTAGTTACTCTTTGTGGTATCACAACACCAAAATAAGCCCCGTCTAACCTTACAGACAAGCTGCGCAAGATATCTGCCAACTTGTCGGAACAGTTTTAGAAATAAACTTCCTTCCTTACATTTAAGGAAATCTTTAAGGTAATATTTAACATTTTATAAAAATTTAATACTTAATTGTTTATTGTTTTCAATTTTATTAAAACTCAAATAACTAAAGCAATATTCAACTGTATAATTTTTACATAAAAGTACAAAGAATATAGGAAGCTCTTATATGGGGTTTTCATTAGTTTTGTTTAGTTTAATATATAATACTGTACTCGGCTCGAAGATTATTATAAAACTTATTTTTTTAGCTGTAGTACGTAACCGTCTGTGTGGGTATTTAAAGTAGTTAGCTCACATCTTATGCGATATGTCCTGAGCAAATTGGACGGTAACTGCTTATTCGAATTTATACAAATTATTATTGAGACGTACTAACCTTTTCAGTTAGTTTGAATTATTTTGTTCTAATTCATTTGTACTAAGCGATTTAAACGGTGAGATAAGCATGCAAAATAAATGAAATCACAAAAAGCATTTTGATTACTCTGATATGATTAATTTCACTAATTTCACTAATATATTGAAATAAAGGTTTCAGCTTTCTTTTAGTTTATTCTTAAAGTTTAAAATTTCCATTAATAAACTTTTTCTCTTTTTTTCTCTTTTGCTGTGAATACTATGAAGAAACTGTAGAAGAAACTATTCCAAACACATTTAAGACTTCATTTTAAATTCTTCGTTGAGTAAGACATTATTTTCATTACAAGTGGTCCTGACTATTAAGCCTTTATATTAACTCACATATTACTCCATTACGACTATTATCTTATTCAAAAGCTAAACAATTAATTTTTCAAATTTTCTTGTACTTATTAAATATTTTTACATGTTATATCTTATTGATACGAGTCCACCATTATATATTCGATTTTATAATGCATATAAGTGCAGTAGATATTATATATGTACGTATATATTTAAGTATACACATTAAAATATATATTGCATATATATATTTATATATATACATATTTGAGAAACACTTGAATAATACTATTAAGTTTTATAAACACATTTAAATGTAAATTCTTGAAAATAACATTGTGTATAATCTTTGTAATTGTAAATAATATCGTAAATAAAATATATAAAGCATTAACTATACATATATATATGAATTGCTATTAAGTTAAAATTTAGCTTTTTACATTTTTCAAACATTTAATTATTAATAATTAATATAAAATGAAAATAAATTACATAGAATTTATATAAGTGCAATATTTGTGTTTCGTTCATTTATGCTTCATTTTCTTCTCTATATATAATTACAATAAGTCGAAATTTTGTTTTTAGAGTATATATATAAAATAAATGAATATATATGTAAACTGTTGGTTTGGTAACAAATATTGTCTGTATATAAAAAGAAATGTGATATAAATATTATAACACTACAAGTCGTGCTAAACATTGCTGGCAAATCTCTTGTAGGTTACCAGAATAATTAGGTATTATAACAATATATATGTAAATATATAAAATATTGTACACATATATTTGTATAATTAGAAAAAT